ATTCAAGTTGCGTCTGAAGGGAGTTCTCTGTGCCTCTTGTCTTTCAATGCCTTCTTCCTTCCCCAGATCAGGGAAGTTCTCAGATATTATTTCTTCAAGTACACCTTCAGCACCTTTCCCTCTCTCTTCCTCCTCTGGGATACCAATTATGTGTAGATTATTTCTCTTTAGTGCATCACTTAGTTCTCTAATTTTCCCCTCATACTCCTGGATTTTTTTTATCTCTCTTTTTCTCAGCTTCTTCTTTTTCCATAATTTTATCTTCTAGTCCACCTATTCTCTCCTCTGCCTCTTCAATCAGAGCTGTGGTCATCTCCATTTTATTTTGCAGCTCATTAATAGCATTTTTTAGCTCCTCCTGGCTGTTCCTTGGTCCCTTGATCTCTGTAGCAATAGATTCTCTGCTGTCCTTTATACAGTTTTCAAGCCCAGTGATTAATTTTATGACTATAGTTCTAAATTCACTTTCTTTTATATTGTTTAAATCGTTTTTGATCAGTTCGTTAGCTGTTGTTATTTCCTGGAGGTTTTTTTGAGGGGGATTCTTCTGTTTCGTCATTTTGGATAGTCCCTGCAGTGGTGCGGGACTTCGGGGGAACTTCCCCTGTGTTGTCTTGAATAACTTGCATTGGTGGGCGTGGCCGCAGTCAGACCTGTTGTCTGCCCCCAGCCCACCCCTGGGGCCATAGTCAGACTGGTGTGTGTCTTCTCTTCCCCTCTCCTAGGGGCGGGATTCACTGTGGGGTGGCGTGGCCCGCCTGGGCTACTTGCACACTGTCAGGCTTGTGGTGCTGGGGATCTGTAGTATTAGATGGGGTGGATCGGCAAGGTGCATAGGGGCAGGAGGGGCAGGCTCAGCTCACTTTTCCTTCAGGGCCCTGCGGCACCGGCAGTGAGTCAGAACCGCCGCCGGAGGGATGGATCCGTAGAAGCACAGCCTTGGGTGTTTGCGTGGTGCAAGCAAGTTCCCCGACAGGAACTGGTTCCCTTTGGGATTTTGGCTTGGGGATGGGCAAGGGAGATGGCACTGGCGAGCGCCTTTGTTCCCCGCCAAGCTGCGCTCTGTAGTCCGGGGCTCAACAACTCTCCCTCCCATTGTCCTCCAGCCCTCCCTCTCTCTGAGCAGAGCTGTTGTTAACTTATAACCTTCTAGATGTTAAGTCCCCCTTGCTGTCCGAACACACTCCGTCTGGCCCCTCCGCTTTTGTCAGCCAGACTCGGGGGCTCTGCTTGGCCGGTGGGCTGCCCCTCTGCCCCGGCTCCCTCCCGCCAGTCCGTGTAGCGCTCAATGCGTCTCCACCCATCCTACCCTCTTCCGTGGGCCTCTCGTCTATGCTTGGCTCCGGAGACTCCGTTCTGCTAGTCTTCTCGTGGTTTTCTGGGTTATTTAGGCAGGTGTAGGTGGAATCTAAGTGATCAGCAGGTCGCAGTGAGCCCAGCATCCTCCTACGCTGCCATCTTCCTTCAAAAAAAAAAAAAAAAAAGTGATATTTGTTTCTTGAAAATACATTTTGATCTGGTGAACAAGAAGGGATTAATTATTAATCCCTTCCCTCAGTATTATGGACTATTATTTATGTACAATCAAAGAGCTTTTATAACTTGGATTTTCCTGTAGCTTGTGAAATATTATATTTTACCTGAAAAGCTTTCATTTCTAGCATAAAACATAGGCTAATAAAAGTGATCAGTGTTTTTAAATTTCTTTTTTATTCTCACTTTAAAATGCAATGCTTTTGGTTTTAAAGATTACAAGAATATATAAAAATGCTTAGAATAGGTTTTCATATCAATATTGATTTAGCTTTCTAAATGTAGTGTATTTTAAAATATGCAACATTACCTATGGACTTAATATTTTCTATTTAGTTATATGCAGTATAGCATTAGAGTAAGCCCAGCCAACATTAGGAAAGCTTCTGTTGAGCTATTTATTTAACTATTTGCAAATTCACTTAAAAATACTTGTATTTTAAACATGCTAAATTGATGGTATGCAAGTAGGAAAACTATGTGATATCAATTTTATTCCCATTGCTGTATTGGGCTAATTTTTTAAAACAAGAACCTGTGTTAGAGTTGAAGGAACTCCAGATAGTTCTCATAGCTCAGCAGTATAAAACACAATCTGTGGCTATAATAAAAAAAATATTCCAGCAGGTTCAAAGAGATTGGGGATAAAAAGCCACTCATTTGCTTTTTTGTAGAAGCAGTAGCAATCTGCAGACAAGCTATTCTAGCTTCAAAACAGTATGGTAGATGGTTTTCTGGAACTTGCAATTACAGAAATCCACTTTAACCTTTCTTTCTTACTGGCAGGTGTCCCATTGGCTTGCAGCCAGAGGCTGCGAGTGTAGTGCAGCCGGTGTGTCCCCCAGAGTGCTGAAAATGCCGACACTCCAGCTGGCTGCTCATAATTGCACTGATTGTGGTCTGACAACCCAGAGCTCCAAGAAAGAAATGTGATGAATATACGAAAATATTTTACAAATTTGATCAGATTACAAATTTCATCTCTCTTTTTTCTCCTCTATAGATATGATATCTGCACTTATAAAAATAAGCCCTGTGGAACATTGGGTAAGTTTTTTATGAAGGGAGGATAGTTCAGATTGTCTTTTTGGTCCAGTGACTTTACTCTTCATCATTAATTTGGTCATTTTCCTTTCTGGCACATCTGAAATTACTCCCATAAATTGTTAAAAATTTAACCTTTGTGGTATGTCACTTACTAGGAAACAAGTGGAATGATGATTAAAAACAACTTAGAAGATGTTTCTAAATCTTCAAACAATCATGTTGAATCAAAAGTTACCACTCTATAATGTATTTTCCAAAAATACCAAGGAATTTGAGACCAAAGGAAAGCAAACAGCATCTTCAAATATCAGGCTAGGAAAGGAAAGGGGGAAAACTGGGGGGGGAGATGTTGTGTTCTTAATGTACTTCCTTCGGTGCAATTTTGTGGAACATGTATATCCCTATAAATTAGGATATTAGAAATTTTCAGTACCTGAACAACAATAAAATAAGAGAGAGAGAGAGGGAGAGAGAGAGGACAGGAGTATCTTTCTTTTGCTCCCCAAATATCATTTGTTCTTTTGAAAAGCGTTTCTGTAGTATTTTAGAATTTAAAAAATTACATTTTGTTGCAGAGCATAACTTCATTCTGGTTAAAAGTTAACTGCAAATATAAATGGAGGGAAATGATAGCTTTCAACTAGACTTAATTGTTAAACAACTAGAGTTATTTTTAAGAACAGGCTTTTTTTTTCTATGATAAATTTTTTAGTGTCATAGAGACTTTATACAGACACAAAAGTTAAGCACCTGAAGGTGAATTTCTACTGTCTCTATGAAAAGTCTCAATTTTCTTATATGTAAAGGAACAATTGTGAAATCTATTCCTATGCCCCTCAAAAGAATTTTGGGAAGATCAAATTTAAGTAGAAATGGGAGAAAAGATGTTACCCAATTTCCTAGGGAGTTCAGAAAGCCACCTGTTTATAGAGACTTGTCTTGATTCTTATCTGCCTTTCCACTCTTCTCCTACCGCATTTCCCTTGGGATTTAAGGGTAAAGAAGAAATCCCAATTAACCAATTTGAGTATTTATAGTGGAGAAGTTTGCTAGTTACAAAGCATAATGGCAAAAGAGCTGTCTTTCCTTAGAGATCTCACTTCAAAAAGATTTAGGTTTTTAGGTTAATTAGACAATGTAATTCATTGGAAAGGACCCTAAACTGGAAACTAACAGCTGGCTTTGACAGTTTCATTGCATTAGCCTTTACTCTTCATTTAGGACTTTGTTCCTCAATTTCCTTATCTATGAAGTAGGAGCAGTATCTGCCCTTATGCAGCAGGGATATTGTAAAAATCATTTCAAGAAAGATGTTTGGTAAAGAAGTACTATAAAATGCACTGGTATTATTACTTATTGTAGAAATTATACTATTTAACCTAACCTCTCTATTATTCAAATTCAATAAAGCATTTACTAAGTGCTTAATCAATTTTAGGTACAATGGACACTAAGCTTCAAAGCTAGAGCTTGTATTTTTCTAGTATATATATATTCTGAGGATATACATATGTGTATATATGTATACATATACATACACATATTCTATTCTGATTTTTGAAGGTAGATTATTTACATTGAGATATGTTCTTTATTAGGATATTAGTAATAACACTGCCTGTACTTTTCTTGTTATTTTTACCAAAGTAGATTCAAGATATTTTTCTACCCTACATCTCTTTTTTTCCCCCGAGTATGTATTCCAACTTTTATAGTTTATTAATTTCTCAAATGAATACAATAATACTTTAGTACATGTCAATGCATTTTCAAGCTCAGTATAAATTATTTTTCAAATTATAAACCATTGTAAATTATTTTTTGTATTATGTCATGGTGAAAACTGAGTGCATATGTTTACATGTGTTGACCTTCATATGTGGAAAAAATATTATCAGTACAGAATTTATCAGGTTTTTTTCTTTTTGGGTGGTTATTCTGGCAACTTTCATGTTGGTTTTATGCTAATACTTGCATATTGTACCTTGCTTAGTACTTCTGATGACCAACTGTTACATGGCTAAGTAGATTTAAGGGTGCAAACTGTGGCCATCAAACTGAGGAAATCTAAATGACCCAAAGAGTAATCAAACCCCTATTAACACAATCACACGTAAGAACTTTGACAACTTCAATTTTACAGAAATACAGAAAGTTGTAGGGGTTGTAAAAATAACATCTAAATTATTTTATTTCACTTAAGATTAAGCTGTGCATTTTCAACTAGTAGTTATTTCCCAAATATGTTCTTTCTAAAGTTGTTCTTTTAGTAGAACAACTAAGTTAATTTTCTATCAGATACAGAAGTAAATCTGTGCTTGCAAATACACCTTGGGGAGTCATTGAGAAAAATACTACCACATGGCATAGACCAAACAACCACAATAACAACAAGCAAAAAGCTAACCCATGGAATAATATATTTTGGAAAATAGAAGAAATGTTAATTTCACAATAATTATCCTTTGTAATTGTTTTTTAGCCAAATTTCATAAAGCTCAAAACAGAAACATTTTTCAGTGTGGCTTTGTTCTTCCAATATCATGGATGATATTGAACTCAATAGCTTAAAGCCAGATAATCTACAGCAAACGTTTTTTGTATTCTTTCTCTCCTTATCCTTCTCTCTCTTTCTCTTAATGGAATTTGGAAGTAACATTGATTAAATATTTTTGATTAACAGAAAAAAAATCAAGTCACCTTGCCCCAACTAGTACCTCTTTTTACTTCCTCTTCTTCAGGTCTCAAGACTTCTAAGTCAGTAGAAGGACACTATAAGATAACACTAGTATTTATAATAACTCAGAGAGGCAGAAATCAACCTCTTTCCCAACTCCTGCTCCTTCCACATAAAACAGTAGGAAAAGCAAACAGTCTATTAGGTAATCTAACACTGACCTCAACTTTGTTCCAGCGTGGCTATTATGTTCATATATTATATTAGAAGGTACAGAGAAACAATTTCTAGAACTTTCTTGTCAGTAAAAATATTAACTGAATAGCTTTTACTATTCCAAATTAGTGTAGCTGGGAAATTGTACTTAGCATAGAACATTGTTTATTGCAGTCAATAAATATTCATTGAATTGAATTCGAACCACTTTTTGTGGGGAGATAATTATTACTTGGGTAATGATAGTAGACTACTAACATATAAAATATAAAATGTTTTTTCTACTTTTCCTTCAATTTCTTCTAAATAACTGTCATCCCTATATGTGTTAAATATGATTTGGCATCTGTTTCCTTATGACACATGACATTTTATCTTTCACACAAAAATTCTTTTTTCTAAGCACTGTTTTAAAGTTATGTATTAATTCACAGGGCATGATATTTATTTGGAAGTAAATATGAAAGCTTTTACAGGCCAAAATTCCCAAGGGAGGAATACCTTGAAAACATAACATTTCACTAAAATCAGCAAGTTAACACTGTAGTTTTTGCTTTATTAGTAAAACTAAGGCATTGAAGGGGGATGGAAGAGGGATAAATACACTGAGTGCGTGAAAGACTTGCTTTCCATTAAAATACCAAAAGACACTGTTGTGTCACTACCAGAACTGATTTCAGAAGATTAAAAAAATGCAAAACCTATTTTTTAACAGTTCTCCTTTTTCTCTTTTGAATCATTCATTTTTGCTTTTATAAAAAAAGTCATTAAAAAATTATTTGGGATTCCCTTTTTTTGGTAACTAAAAAGTTGCTTGTATATTTTTATGAACCCACTAAACTTAAACAGATCTCTTTAGAAAAATAATGTGGATATATTTTGCTTTCTACAGCCTAAAGAATGTTAAAATAGAAATGCTTTCTTGAATTCCCTCTTCTGGCTCAAGTTACTAGGTGGTCCCAAGTTACCAGAAGTAAAATTTATAAATCTAACCCCTAGTCTAGACATTTTCCAGCACTGACTGCAGTTCAAAAAATATTAATGTCTAGCCGGCAAAGTGAAACTCCCCCCAGTGATTTTGCAAATGACTAGAAAGTTAACCTTTTGCCAACTGTTCCTTCTGTGCATGGAGGTTATTAAAAAGAATCCAGGCATTTATAAGTATGGGCTTTTTAAGACTGAAACACCTTGGCTTGACCCTTTGTGTCTCCTTCTGTTTATTCAGGCTTGGCCTCTGTGGCTGGAATGTGTGAGCCTGAAAGGAGCTGCAGCATTAATGAAGACATTGGCCTGGGTTCAGCTTTTACCATTGCACATGAGATTGGTCACAAGTGAGTGAGTTTAAGAAAATCAAAATAAATTTTAGAACTCCACTCTTTTGAGCAACTCATAACTACTGTGTGGAACGCCTGTGCTCAACCGTATTTTACTGCCTTTTTGTCTGATTTCAATAGAGAATGTTATCATTTGGGGTGTTGAGATAAATCATCTTAAGAACTGGAGACTTGTTAAATAATCTTTATGGTTCAATGACCCATAGTTTTAGAGTGGTGAATGCACCACACTTAACTTTTGTTACATGTATTTGAAATAATTTACCTTTAGCATGGTCTGCTCATCACCTAGTTCCTCCAAGTTAAATTGTTTAAGTGATCTGTTTTTTCATTAAGTGACAATACCTATATATTTTAAAATCACTATTGACACTGCTACCATAAAGTCTGCTTTGACTTTTCACTCTTCATACAGCTGTGAACATACCTTTTCCAGACATAAAGTTTGTGCAATTGATGCTGTGTAACTTGTGTTTTCAGGTGTACTTGTATGTCACTGAAATACACACACACACACACACACACACACACACACACACACACACAATCAAAACTGATGTTACAGAGAGCAGTGAGACATCATTTTCATAACTTTTTAGGAGGCTCTGGAGTTTTTAATATTTGCTTTAAATAAATCTGTGCCCCAAACTGTCCTATGGCTTTCCCCCTGAATACACACACATAGCAGTAAAATCCTTACTTTGTTTATTTCAAGCAACAGGCAGTAGTAAATGTAAAAGCCTGCTCATGTAGAAGGAGAGAAATTTGAAAACTGTAAAAGGATAGTCAAACAGTTTTAAGTGAAACAAGCAGCCTATTTGCAGGAACTCCTGACATTTGTATGATTTAAGTTTTACAGTCTACTTCTTTGGTAGAGAAATGGATGGGGGAAAAGAAGAACAAATAGAAATGAATGTTTATTATACACTTGCCTCAGAGGTCATTCCTAAGATAAATCTGTAGTTCAGCTATTTTTTTTTTTCAAAGTGGAGAGTGAAATTGAGTCAGTCTGTTGCATTATTTTGAAGATTGCAATTTAAATTATACCAAATTAGTGTTGATTTATGTAAATGCAAGTGACTAGCAAGTTTAAACCTAACTTGATTCAGACATGAGGAAAAGTCAGTATTACAGTTTTAATGAAGTCTTAAAAATATTGGTATTCTAGTTTCCATTGCAATAAACAGCAGGAGTACAAAAGGCGAAAGCCTCTGAACCAGTCAGTTTATCTTCAACGCACTTAAAACTCTGGCTCATTAATGACTGTCATAATCTTATGCAACCAGACTGAATTTAATAGGTTCCGTTAGATTCAATTACATTGAAAGGTTAGGACAAGTAACATACAGTGGATAAATTATGTATGTATGGGAGCACCATTTCCACATGCAGTCATAAATTAGTCAGTGTCAGCATATGCATTGTAAGGCTCATTCTTGTATGTACTTAATAGCTGAAGTGAGGGTTTATCTTTCTTTGTATCTTTTATTAAGATGAAGATTCTAACTGACCTTCTCTGTCAGAATTCCTAGAGTCCTTTTTGTTGTTTTTGGCCTCTTGGGTAATTCCTTCTAATTCTTTGTAAGATGAATGGTTTGTACCTTATGTAGAAGATTATGAAAGAGAAGTAGAGTATCAATATACCTTTTAAGATTTATATGCTCTGGAATAACTTTATTTCGCAACTAATTCTTGTTTGATAATGCAACTGCTAAAAAATGAGGAGGTGGGGAATCTACAAAATGCTTTATGTTGAGAGCCAGAAGAAATTCTTCCATTTAAAAATGTTATTTGACAAACTAAAAATCAGCTATCTTTCCATGTCCAGTTGATTAATGGGTCAGTTTCCTCTATTCCCTTTTCCCCAGACAATGAGGCGGGATATATCTAACATATCTTTTTCAATGTAACAAATTATTATTTGGTCACTTAAGGAAAATCTATTTCATGGATGGAGATCCCTTGACTTGTTTTTAAGATCTTGGGCTTAGCTTTAAGGAACTTAGCAAGTCAACTCTGGCACAACTCATGGCATCACTAAAATACAATCCCCTATTCTTCCTGAAAGAAAGCAACAGCCATGGTAAATATATCAGGTATAGTTTTCAGTTAGAGTGTGCTGAATTTTTATAACTTGTATCATTTAGTAGGATGGATTGTAAGTGATGCAACAATATCTGCAGGTTCATCACAGTGAAGAATATTTGACTATAAATTATTGAGAAGTGCCCTCATTGAATCACTAGACTGAAGATTTTCAATGTATTATTTACATTGTGTAGAATATGGTTTTGCACCCACTGTATACTTGTGTAGGTATAGAATATCCATTTTAAACAGCTATGGGACAAATTTTTCCTTGAGTAGGCCTTGGTGACCACTTTTATTGGTGGGGGTGGGGGGTGGACCATACGGGAATTGAATTAGTGACCACTTTTATTTCTCTCCATGGCTTTGTGAAAACAAGAAAGATTGAGGTTTATGCAATATTTAAGTAACATGTCTAGCTGTAATGTAGCTATAAGCCAAAGGCAATTAATGAACCTTATAGAAATGAATGTTCATTGAAATATTTTTTTGTTAATAAACTAGTTGCCATAGATTTCAGCAATTGAAAAAATTGAAAAAATTTCAGCAATTGAAAAAATTATGATGTTGAAAGGGGGTGGCAAGAATTCAACCAGACTTCTTTATGTTGAGAAAAGTCTGATGTTTCCACATGGTATAAGAATAAATAATCTTAAAAAGATCTTAAAAATTGTCATAGTTATTTGAGATGCATATTTCAATATGCAGGACTGAGTGACAGGATGTCTGAGATTTACTTTGAAAAGAAAATGAAAAAGAGAAAGATAAGGCAAGAATAGCATCTTGAATTTTATCATCTTGAAAATGTATGAATGGGAGTTCATTATGCCACTCTTTCTACTATTTTACATGTCTGATATTTTCTCACAAAAAAGAATAGGTCCTAAGATCATAGATCTTTTCATTAACTTAACCCATTTATTAATTAATCATGATTTAATGAACTATAACTCTGATTTTGAGAGAATTTATGGAAGTGTTAAATGTTTTAGCAAAAGCTGCAGGTGTTTATTGGCCTTGCTTTTGGAAATCAGTACCAATGTTTGGTCTTACCAATAGGGATATAGAAGATTGGTTAGGAGATGATTTTTTTTTTTTTTTTTTTTTTTTTTTTTTTTTTTTTTTTTTTTTTTTTTTTTTTTTTTTTTAAGGAGAAATGTGGCAGACTTCATGACAAAATGGTAAATTAGGCTACCTGTATTAGGAAGCTCTTATTACTATTTTCTTTTATCTGAACTTGCCTTCTCCTGTTGCAAGTACTTAGGTTGTCTCTAAATGCTTGATTAGGGCTCTACTTTCATAATAGAAGGCTAATAATTAACATACACTGAGGGATTCTTAATATTTGAGACTGTATTTGGGACTTTAATGCTTTTTGTCTAGTTTTGATGTCAAAATAATGTTAGTCTTATAAATGAGTGAAGAAGTATTCTATTTTCTGGAAGAGTTTGCTTTCCCATGAGTACATTTTAAAACATTATTTTGGTATAATTTACATACAATAAATATGCATACATTTTGAGTATGGATCAGTGAATTTTGGCAAATGTATATAACCGTTTAACCACCACCATAATCAAGATATCAACATTTCCATTACCTGAACAAGTCCCCTTATTCCCTTTTATAGTCAGTCTCCACCTTTTCTCTGGGCCCAGACAGCCACAGATCTACTTTTCATCACTATAGATTAGCCTTGTCTTTTCTATAGTTTCATTTAAGTGGACTTATATAGTGGGTACTCTTTTGTGATTAGTTTCTTTCCCTTAGCATAATGCTTTGGAGATTCACCCATGTTGTGTGTACCAGTAGCTTTGTTGTTGTTGTTGTTGTTGTTTTCTGAATAATATTCCCTATCGATAATATACCACCTAAAATATACCACATTTTAGGTTTTTTCTAGTTTGGGGCTATTATGATGAATAGTACTGCTGTGAACATCCACGTACGCGTATTTGTTTGGACATATACTTTCATCTCTCTTGGGTGGTACTGTTGGTAGTATGGTATGTGTTAGGTTCACTCTATCATAAACTGGTTTTCAAAGTGTCTGTATACCATTTTACATTCCCACTAGCAATCTCTGAGTTTTGATTACTTCAAGATCCTTGCCAACATTTGTTTTTGTCTTTTTAATTTTAGCCATTATTATGCATTTCAGTGGCATCTCATTGTAATTTTAATTAGTTAAGCAACTATTTTCTGGTAAATAATGATGTTAGTGATGATGAGCATCTTTTCATATACTTATTTGTCATTCATTATCTTCTTTGAATATCTAGTCAAAATCTTTTTCCCACTTTTTCTTTTTAACTGTGGTGTTTTCTTCTTATTGAGTTGCAAGATTTCTCAATATATCCTCGGTAAAAGTCTTTGTCATATATACATAATGTGACTGTGACTATCTTCTCCAGGTCTGTTGTTTGCCATTCATTTTTTTATGGTATTTTGTAAAAAAAACAGAATTTAAAAATTTTGACGAAGTGTAATTAAAAAAATTTTTCTTTTATGGCTTGTGTTTTTTTGTGTCCTGAAATGTCTTTGCCTACTTCAAAATTGTAAACGTTTTCTTCTGTATTTTTGTCTAGAAGTTTTATACTTTTAGCTTTTTATATTAAGATCTGTGATCCATTTTGAGTTAATTTTTTGTGTAGTGTGAGGTAAAAACTCAGGTCCCTTTTTTTGTCATGGATATCTAGTTATTTTAGCACAATCTTTTAAAAAATTGGTTGGTTTGTAGTTTTAATACCTTTGTTGAGTTCTGTATCAGAATAAAGTTAGTCATACAAATTAAATTGAGTTGAGTTTTAGTGTTAGAATAAAGTTAGTCATATAAATTGCTCTATTTTCTGGAAGAGTTTGTACACATAAGGTTAATGTTATTTCTTCCTTAAGTGTTTGGTAGAATT